CCTCCATCTTTCCCAGCATTAGGCTCTTCTCCAGTGAGTCCTTCCTTCTCATTAGGTGGCCAAAGTACTTGAGTTTCAACTTCAGGATCTGGCCTTCTAAAGAGCAGTCGGGGTTGATCTTCTCTAGGACTGATCGGTTAATAATGAGGGGTTAATAATTATTTTGCTGGACCATTCTAGCAAAAGATGCCTATAAGTCTTTGAAAAGAGCAAAGAAAATGTTAAATATCAGATGTTGGGAAAACATGTAGATTTTAAACCTGAACTTTTCTTATTAGGTATAATGCCCAAAAAGATTGATAAGCAAAGTATATACTTGATTTTTACATGTGATAACAACGGCAAGAATCATATTCACACAACACTGGAAAAATGAAGAAATACTACCAGAGGGAGAAATAATTAAAAAATATATAGAATGTGCGGAAATGGACAGACTTACTTTGAGGTTGAAAGAAAAAGAAGAAACAGAATACTTGCAAACTTAGGACTTAGTTTATCAACGGCTGGAGAAAAGAATAAAGGATTAGGAATTAAATCCGTGTTAATTGAATGATAAACTCAGTCAACGCGTTTGTTGGATAAGTGCTGCTGAATTGTATGAAAAAAATTAATAAAAACTTTGTAAAAGAAAATGTTAAGTATCAGGAAGCACTTGTTCCACCCAAGCTAAAATATTGGTCTCTTTTTTTAAGCTACGTGCTTCCAGACACCAGCAAGAAAAGTTATCAGAAAACCCGAATTGTCAAGAGAGACTCCAATCCCGTCTTCAACCACACCATTGTGTATGACGGATTTCACACGGAAGATCTGAAGGATGCCTGTGTGGAACTGACGGTCTGGGATCACGAAAAGCTCACCAATCACTTTCTCGGAGGGATCCGGCTAGGACTTGGGACGGGTAAGTCAACGGTGCCTGTATCTCTTTGCTTCATTTTCATTCTCCCCTAGTAGAACATCTGCCAGAAATATAAATATATAATTTGGCAGGCTAAAGTTAACTGTGGTGAGCAGCTACATGGGGATGTGCAGATACACAGGCGGTGGTGGTAGAAAGCACTGAGAGGCCTAAACGCTTAACAAAAATTAAATTTTTAAAAATTGAAATGATTGAGATTTACGGCAGAGTGGAGATGGGGAGGCAAGTCTCTTTTAAGGGTGCAGGGGGGGGAAGAGGAATACATTATGCACAACTCATTTGTTAGTTGAGCAATTGACACACTCAAGAGTCTGGAGGTTTTTCCAGTGCCAGTAGAACACTGAGGCAGCCTAATTTGGATTAGTAAAAGAGGAATATGGGGGTTCAAAGCAGCTTTTGTTGGCAATTGCAATTGCAATTACCATGACCATTTGTTTTGGTTTTTTTCACAAAATCCATCCATGGATCTTGCCTAGTTTTGACCCACAAAGAAGAATGCTTGAGAGTTGGACACTCATTCAAGACTCTCATTTCTAAAGTGTTTTATTGCTTCTTGCTTTGGGCCAGGCTTCAGCTATGGAATTGCTGTTGACTGGATGGATTCCACACAAGAGGAAGTAGCCTTCTGGCAGGAGATGAGGTCAACGCCCAACGAATGGATTGAAGGCTCGCTCCTTTTGCGCTCCTTGGCTGGGAAAAACAAGTTGAAGTGACACCTCTGAGACTTCAGCTACATGGCAGGGAGAACATACAGAGAGGCCAGCTTTGATTTGTTGTCAGGTACATAAGAATGCAAAAAGGGAGCCAAAAATTAAGGAAGACACTGATCCGAGAGGAAAGGTGCTAGCATCACACCTCGTTTTCGTAAGGCGTGGGGGAGCTACTCTGGACATCGGAGGCACAGAGGTTGACTTAAGAGCCAGAAGGCAGGGCTGAAGAGGTGGAGATGTGGGGTGGAGATGACTAATGCAACCATTTTTTTGCTTTCCCTCACATGGGAAGTTGAACTAGAATTGTGGTTAGCAGAAGCCTCCCCCAATCAACTAACTGTGCACCTCTTAAAAACGCTCTACTGGGATGAAGCTGTTGGAGATGAATGATTTTTTTCCGAGCCAAAGAAGGAAACCTTGTCTAAGTGATGCTAGGATCACTTAAGAGCCAGGATGGAATCATGGACTTTAAGGAGCCCTTGAAGGTCTGCTAGTCAACCCCTGCTCACTACAGGACCCAAGACTAAAGTGTTCCTGGCAGATGGCCATCCAGCCTCACCTTGGACAGCTCCAACGATGGCAAGGTCTTTCGGTAATTCTTTCCGCCGCTCTTTATTATTATGAAACTTGTTCTGAAATTCAGGCAGAGCCTGCCTCCTATGATTTTACATCTGACTCTTTGGAACCTGAGAAAACAAGGCAGGCATCTGACAATTGACGGACGCTTCCTTTGGTAAGTGAGCGAAGGGATAACAAGACTTACGCGACAGACAGACAGAGGAACTCAACCAGAACTTGGAGGCTCTTCATTTTTATTTAGCAGGATTTTAACTTTCCACTTGCAACTTAAATCAGAACATTCCTTTTCAGGATGATGTCAAAGTTAAAGGTAGCATTTCAGCAGACTGGTTTTTTTTTTTTTTTAATGCATTGGCTGTGATAAATTTGCTCATTGTGAGCTGGGAATTCTTTTTAATGAATGGCTCTGGCCATTACTTTTAAGCACACTTTAAAAAATACTTCACGCTCTGTGTTTGCTATTCTTCTCTTTCCTACAACCCAGCCTTACGAACTGTGGTTATCTAAAAAGTTCTGTTATTTTATGTATCTGATCAAATGGACTACAGTCCATACAATGTCACATCATAATAAATGTGTTAGTCTTTAAGATGTCAAAAGTGTCTTGGTGTACATCAGGGAAGACTCAGTCATCCAAGCCAGGGGTCCTCAACCTTGGCAACGTTAAAGACTTGTGGACTTCAACTCCCAGAATTCTGGGAGTTGAAGTCTACAAGTCTTAAAGCCATCAAGGCTGAGGACCCCTGATCCAAGCCAAATGTGTTAAAAAGTTGAATCAGGGCAACTGGACCAATCTTGACCAAAATTGGTCAAGATGCCATGATTCAACCTTTTGACACAAGTGTCTTGGTGATTTTTTGCTGCAACTGAGTAGGTCGGCCATCTCTCCCCGAGAACTTATATCCTTATATCCCTAAAAGTTGGATTATGGGTTTTTCCTCCTGCATAACAGTAAAGCCCATCTGTGTATTCTTAGTGGATGTTTTGCTTCACTTAAATTGACTTAATTGAAATTAAGCTTTGTGGAATGCAATAGATCAGTGGGTGATGCTATCATGTAATATTAATGTGCAATTCGGATAGTATCAATATTTAATAGGGATATTACATTGATACAAGTTGAAAAGAATGTTAACCTTCAATAATGCAATATGTACCTTCCAGGTACATTGGGTTTTTGGCTCCATCATTCCTACATCAATGTTGCCAATAGGAAATACATCTTGAGAGCCCATGTAGTGTAAGCCAACATGGTGCATTTTATTGGGCAACCTTAAAATACTGGAATTGTTTTACTTGCAAATGTGGAAAAAACTTAATAAGCTAACTATTCCTTCCATGGCCTGGCCCTGGAGAAATGTTTCTTGATGTTAGCAGCTTTAAGATGCGTGGACTTCAATCTAGAATTTTTCAACCTCCGATGTAACAGAGAGATCTATAATGTATTGATCCTGCACTGTGAAAACAATTCTTGACTTTTCTTTATTGTTGCAATTTTGATTATCTGCCAGGAAGTGGCGCACATCTTCCATTGTTCATCAGAAGGCTTTGTATAAAAACATACGAAGAATGGCTGCAGGACTTGGGTTTGGCTAGCCTAAAGAAAAGAAGAAACAGGGGTGACACGATAGCAGTATTCTAGCATTTGGGAGGCTGCCACAAAGAAGAGGGTGTCAAACTATTCTCCAAAGCACCTGAAGACAGGACAAGAAGCAACAGATAGAAACTGATCAAGGAGAGAAGCAAGCTGGAATTAAGGAGAAACTTCCTAACAGTGAGGACAATTAACCAGTGTTAATATTGCAGTACTCCAGTATTTGAGAGGCTGCCACAAAGAAGAGGGGGTCACGTTATTCTCCAAAGCACCAGAGGGCAAGACAAGAATCAATAGTTGGAAACTGATCAAAGAGAGAAGCAAACTGGAATTAAGGAGAAACTTCCTAACAGTGAGGACAATTAACCAGTGGAATAGTTTTGCCTCCAGAAATCGTGGGAGCTCCATCACTGGAGATTTTTAAGAAGAGACTGGACAGTCACTTATCTGAGATGATATAGGTTCTCCTGCTTGAGCGGGGGGCTGGACTAGAAGACCTCCAAGGTCCCTTCCAGCTCCATTCTATTCTATTCTAAAATCTCCACAGTGTGGACGTTAAGATTGAAATTCTGTCCATTCCTGCTCAAAAGTAAAGCCCATTCAGTTTACTAAGACTTAGGCCCAGTTAAAAATGACAAGCTATGCAAGGAATAAAGAATGCAAACAGGGAATCCCAGATCCACAAAGTGAGATGAGACAAAACGAAACATATCATGTAAACCAAAAGTTTTACAGCCTAAAGGTCACCAACTACCAACCAAGGTCAAAAGGGCATAGCTCTGAACAGGGGGGTCTGGAGGGAATAAAAAAAACAGCAAAGATGGTGGCTGTGATTGTAATCAAAGCCCTAGCTTCCTTTTATGTGTATCACACAAGTGTAATGTGTTTGTTTGTTTATATCTCACCTTTATTATTTTTAGAAATAACTCAAGGTGGTGAATGTATCAACACACCTTCTTCCTCTTATTTTCCCCACAACATTAGCCCTGAGAGTTGGGTTGGGCTGAGAGAGGGGGACTGGCCCAAAGTCACCCAGCTGGCTTTCATGGCTAAGGCGAGACTAGAACTCCCAGTTTCCTAGTAATTGGCCCAAAGTCACCCAGCTGGCTTTCATGGCTGAGACTAGAACTCCCAGTTTCCTAGTAATTGGCCCAAAGTCACCCAGCTGGCTTTCATAGCTAAGGCGAGACTAGAACTCCCAGTTTCCTAGTGATTGGCCCAAAGTCACCCAACTGGCTTTCATATCTAAGATGGAACTAGAACTCCCACTTCCCATCCTGGTGCCTTAACCACTAGACCAAATGTGCTATCTTAATGTTTTTGACACCCTGTTTCCAGGGGAAGCAAGTAGCAGAGGATGGGGGCTGTGGCTGGAAAGGCCTGTTGGCTTAATACAAGCCTCATATACTGTATCTCTCAAGAGTATGAAGTTCTGAGCAGGCCATCCCTGGGTTTCAGACCAGCCAGGCAAAGTTGAATGCAGATCACTAAAGAGGCCATTTATGCTTGGAGCTGCATCTATGCCCAGTAAGTAAATAAACAAATTAATTCTGCTTTGTCTTACTGTGTGGCATCATATAAAAACGGGAACAGCCAACATCACACTGAATTCCTCTCTGCATCAGCCTGAGCTCTCTGGCATGGAGTAGAAAGGGACTTTTTAGTTCCATAGAAGTTGAGAGAAGAAAGATTGTTTTCCTCTACCTTAGAACCAAAGGACAGAGCCAGTGTGATGGTGTGAGGGTGAAGGCACCAGCTAGAAAACAGAGGATCCTGAGTTCTAGTCTTGCTTTTGGGCCAGTCAGTCCCTCAGCCCTAGGAAGAAAGCAACGGCAAGCCACTTCTGGAATCTTGCCAAGAAAATGGCAGGGACTTGTCCAGGAATCAACACTGACATGAAAATGCAGACACACACACACACACACACAGAACCAAAATAGCTTTCTATGACTGGGAAGGGTTCTAGATCCACAGCAGAGAATTTAGAAGGTCCTACGTTCAACCTCAACATGTCCACCAAGGGGAAATGGCTTATCCACCACCAGCCCAGAATCGGTCAGTTGCTGTCTATGGTCCTGAATGAAATGGTTTGCTGAGTACCACTAAAGATAGATACAATAAAGGATCCTTATACCTATTATTACACATGCTAACAGCAGCAAGATTAGTCTTTGCACAGAGATGGAAAGACAGTGAGACACCCTCAGAAGAAGCGGTAATAAATAAGATTGTATCCTGTGCTGAAATGGACAGGTTGACGTTAGAACTTAAGGATAAGAGTGAAACAGATTACTACGAAATCTGGAACAAATTGTATGATTGGTTGTGGGGAAACAGAGGGGAAAACGCTCCGATTCAACGAAACACATTGATCAAGCATGATACTGATTAAAGGGAAAATATTTAAATATTAAAGTGAAAATTAAGACTATTGACGACGGGAACTATCGGAGAGAATATCTATGGGAAAAAGAAAAAAGAAACATTTGTGTGAATACGTGGATTATGGATTGTAGATATTGTTGACGATTTTCCTTCGTAAACGTAAGCCAGGCAAACACAGTGTTAATCAACTATGATGTGATTTATGTTTTAAAAACCAATAAAGTTTATTTAAAAAAAAAGGAAGAAGAAGAAGAAGAAGAAGAAGAAGAAGAAGAAGAAGAAGAAGAAGAAGAAGAAGAAGAAGAAGAAGAAGAAGAAGAAGAAGAAGAAGAAGAAGAAGAAGAAGAAGAAGAAGAAGAAGAAGAAGAAACTGCTTGAAGGGCCACCCCAGAGTTATCCCAACAAGGGAAAGCCGACACCGAAATCAGGCCCCCCTCCGAAAACAGCTGGATTTCCCCTCCCATCGTTCCCAGAAGGAGGGCCGGGGGTCCAACTCATCTGTGGGGCATCTGCCTGGGAAAGAGAGCCGTGGGGCATCTGTCTCGCCTTGGGCCATAATTGGCAATGGGGACCGGGGACCTGCTGCCAGATCTTTTCTAAACCATTCGGTAGCGATGGTGGGAAGAGGCGGAGGAGCGTCTCTTCGGGGCTATACGGTACTGCTGCTGCTGCTGCCAGCGGTGATGAGTCAGACAGTTCGGTGCTGCTGCTGCTGCCGCTGCCATCCTCCCCTCGCCTGCATCTCCATCTTTCGAGCATCTTCCTCGCTCGGCTGCAAAGGGGGCCGCGCCGACTCGCTCGCTCGCTCGGCTGACACGCGAGGGGGTCGTGGGAACGCGCCCGGTCCCCAATCGGGCCGCCCCCACCGTCGCGGGCCGAAGACCTTGACGCACGAAAAAAAAGGGGGGCGGCGGGGGGGGGGAAGGCAGCGATCCTCGCTTAGCGCATCCGCCGGGCCCGCCTCCTTCGGAGCATGCGTCCCGCTCCCCGGACCGCGTTCAGACGCGCCTGGCGACCCGTGACTCGGGCCCGGCGGGTTAGCAGCGCCTCCGCGGGGTCTCGGCGCTGAAGGTGCCCGGGGGGAGGAGGGAGGGGTCTTTTCTCCCCCCGCGCGGTGGCGAGTGGGCCGCTTTGCGGGAAGGGCTCGGCCCTGAACGTGGGAAAGCCTCCCCCGGTCCCCCGCCCGCGAAGCCGGCCGGGCTGAGCGCATCCCCGCTCGAGGAGAAGAGAGAAGGAGGAGGAGGCCGGGCCGGTGCCTCCAGCCTCTGCCGGGCTTCCCCGCCAGGCTCGCCCGCTCGGAGCGCCGAAGGGCCCTTCCTTCCCCCGGCGCTGATTCCCCCGCAAGAGGCGATCGGGGCGGCCCCGGCGAGGAAAAGCAGGCGCCCCCGAGGCGCAGAGGCCGGTGCGGGCACCGCGCGCCCCTCCCAGCAGCAGCAGCAGGATCGGGCCCAGGATCGGCCTCCTCCTCTTCCTCGGCCTCTGCCGGGCTCCGCGCCGGGCGCCCCCGAGCCGTCCCTGCAGCCGCGGCGCTGCTTCCCGGAGCTCCGAAGGCGTCGGCGGCCTCAGGCCTCTGCTTGGCCGGCCCTGGCTGACGATGGAGGCCATTTGGCTCTACCAGTTCCGCCTGATCGTCATCGGCGACTCGACGGTGGGCAAATCCTGCCTGATCCGCCGCTTCACCGAAGGGCGCTTCGCCCAGGTCTCCGACCCGACCGTGGGCGTGGATTTCTTCTCGCGCCTGGTGGAGATCGAGCCGGGCAAAAGGATCAAGCTGCAGATCTGGGACACCGCCGGCCAGGAGAGGTTCAGGTGAGCGGGGGGGGGGGGAAGGCGTCGAAGCCAGGGGGGGTCCCTCGCTCCCCGATCGGTCCTTGGAGGAGGGGGGGGCAAGAGGCTTTACCTTTGCTTGGAGGGAGGGGCGGACCGAAGGAGGGGAGACCCTGCTGGGCCGGGATCTTGCCTGGGGGGGGGGAGAGAGAAAGGGGCATCTTTCATTGAGTCAGTGCTCCGGGGTGGGTGGTCAGATTTAAGCTCCCCCCTCCAAGGCCAGGTCTGTGGGAGAAAGCAATGATCTTACTTGCTTTCCAAGAAAGGAGGCTTCCCCCCCCCCACCGCACAGAAGGATCTCCAGACCTGGAGAAGAGTGGGGGGGCAGGGGTTCCCAAAATACGTCCCTTCCAAAGGTTTTGAGGCAGTAGGGTCTCCAGACAAGCTTGCTCCTGTCCTTTGACTCCTCCTCCTTGACGGGGAGGGGGGGGGGCTTGTCAACAATTTGGGAACCCAACTTCTAGCCACCGTGGACTTTGTGGGGGCCATGATTAAAGTGTTGCGTTAGAACTGGCCAGACCCGGGTTCAGATCCAGCCTCAGCTCTGGAAACTCATTGGGGGACTCAGGACCAGCCGTTTTTCTCTCAGCCCTGCAGACCTTGCAGGAATGCAGAGGCCTGCCCTGAATTCCGAAGGGGGAAAAAAAAAAAGTGGGATGTAAATGCACAAAAACCAAACTTAAACCTTCCCAGGGACGAAGGCGCCACGATTCCTCCATCAAGGGTCCATGCCACCACCTTGTTGTTGTGTGCCAGACAGGTCGTGCTTAATATTCTCGGTTACAAAGCTAGGGATGCCAGAATGTCCGAGGTCCATTCCTTCTGGGATGCAGATTCAGAGGAAGGCCACCTGTCTAATCGTGGCTTTACCCAACCTGCATTTTTTTCTTCCATCAGAGACTGTGTAAGGTTGACATATTCCAGGTGATCTTAATAAGTTAGGGAAGGTACTCATCCTGGATCTGTGTTTCAACGATCTACAGTCAGTGCCTCCTGCAAATATCCCCCCTCAGTTTCCAGCAGAATGCCCTTTCCATATTTCTTCAGAGAGAAAATCAAGGAGTGGGTGATGCCAACGAAACTCAGGACTGCTCCAGACCCCGTGCTGGAAAACAAGTTGAATCTTTCAGCCAGGAACATCGTTGAATAGCTGCCATTGTCTATAATATAGCTGATAGCATCATTGAACGTCGATTTCTAAACCGGTAGTGTCAAAGAGAGTTAAGAGAGATGCTTATAGAATCAACAGAGCGGAGGGTTCAAGTAAATTCATCAAAACCAGTTCTGGAAAGTAGGGTTGAAGCTATCTTCTTTGTTAAGATCATCTTCTCACAGAAGTCCCAACAGAACGTCCTAAATTCTTTCTGAGTTCTTCCTAAGTTCTATCTAAGAGGGCATCAAGAGATGATCCGGAGTAACAATGGACTGCTTACATTGAAGCCAGATCTGCAACTCTGAAATGGTGGCATGAAGGGCCAATGTCTCAAACCTTGGGAGATGCATCACCAATGAATTGAAAGCCAGCCACCTAGCAAAGGTCTTCTGGGGGGGGGGGGGAGAAGCAATTTGAAGAATCAGTCAACTCGGTTGTAGTGGAAAATATAAAATCCTTGCCCTGAACTCTAAAGGAGAACAGGTGTAGAAGACTTCCTTCTCTTTCAGAGGCCAGCAGGATAAACAGAAGCAAAGAAGGTTGAAGACAATCAGCTCTACATGAAGGAACCAATCGGTCCCAGATCAGATGATGGCAGAGTAGAGCTGCTTCCTAGACAAAGAAGCTTCTATGTTATGTTTTCCATTTGTTTATGGTGCTGAAGGAAACTGGAGCCATCTTGAATCTCAAAACTCCAGCCAGGCTTTCTCCCTTGAGATCCCCAGATCTGATGTGGAATGAGCCCAGTTCTAATTCAGCGCACTCCCTCTTGAACTAGCTTCTGTGCAAGTGATATTCAATTTATAACAGGACATCCTAGAACTCAGGATGGCCAGATCTGTTTACCAGAGCATCCTCGATGGAGAAAAGAGCAAGCAGATTCAATCTGATACTTCAGTAACTCCTGGAGCACATTTTCAGGGTGGACTTAATTCTGCACCATGGCATTAAGATAGAGAAAAAGAAATTTATCCTTGTTTCAGGAACAGACCTCCAGCGTCTAAGGACTGTCATAGAAACATCCAGGAAGTCAACTTTAAGGATGCTGGTAAAATGGCAAGGGATGATCACTGTGTATCTGGGCTCAATCTTATGGGACCATTTCTTCTCCTGTGACTCCAGGACCACATCACCTGTAAATTCTGTCTGCACATCATAATGTCAAACAAAGCATTATCTCAACCGATCAGGCATAAGGAATACTACTCAGAGAACCAATTAGGGATCAGATGAACAGAGACGCCAGCTTAATGGGATGGAGAGCAATTTCCAAAACAGGTCAATAAGGGACGAGTCCACTCTGTCTATCAACCACTAGGATGAGAGGACAGCACAGCTGGTTCTGGAGGTGCTTCCATAACAGATGGGTGGGCAGTGTTATAATTATGCAAATGGACAGGGTGGACCCAGATCAAGGGCCCTTTAGAAAGGGGCCACCTGATTAAAGGCATGAATGGAGAAATTCCTACTTTCCCTATCAGCAGAATATCCAAGAATGACTGAATACCATAGCTGATGGGCTGAGCGGTCAAGTCCATTGTTTCAGGATGTAGAGGTTCACAGCAGTGGATGCTAGGCAAGTGAGAAGCTGCTTCTGATTTCAAGACAACAGAACAGTGACCAATGTCATGGGTGGAAGCTTGTCAAAGATTCAACGTAGAAGAAGACACTTCCTGACAATGAGAACAATTCATCAGTGGAACAGCTTGCTTCCTTGGGTTGTGGGTGCTCCATCACTGGAGGTTTTTAAGAATAGACTGCCATTTGATTGGGATGGATAAAAGCTCCCGCCTTGAGCAAGGGATTGGATTAGAAAGCGTTCAAGGTTCCTTTTAGCCCTATGATTCTATATCCTAGTGGCCCATTTAGCAGAAAAACTGACCTGTGCTTTCCCTCCAGTTCCAGTGCTACCCAAAATAGTGCACAAATGAAGATGCTTGAGGCATGGGGGATTTTAATTGTTCTATTCTGGCCCCAGAGAACACTTTAATGCAGTGGTTCTCAACCTTTTTAATGCTGCGACCCCCCAACTGGTCGCAAGTCGAGGACTACTCAACTGGTGCAGCACCGTTTGCAGAATGGGACTTTTGGCAGGCTCAGCAGGGCAGAGACAGCCTGGACAATTCCTATTGGCTTTTGAAAGCCAATAGAATTAGACTCTATTCAAGAGAATCTATCCTATTGGTTTTCAAAAGCCAATAGAATAAAAGGGAGTAGCACAGCTAAGAAAAAGGGGGAAAAAATGGCGGACTGCGTTGTTTGGCGACCCCCGTGAAATGGTTGTTCGACCCCAAATGGGGTCCCGACCCATAGGTTGAGAACCACTGCTTTAATGGATGAGCAAGGAGGCTGAAATTCACAGATTTCCTGTCCTCCAGCAGAGGTTACAGCTTATATAGAGACGGGGCACCGCCGTCCTAGACAAAGGCGCTACCTGGTGCAATCCAGTTATTCATTGTTTTCTCCTCCTGGGACTTGTCATTGCTTCTTAGGGTTTTCATGACTGTTCCCTTTCAACTTGTCCGACATCCTCCCAGGAACAGGCTTGACTAGAAGCCAGCAAGGCCGTCCTAAATCCTGTCTGGGAGGATTGAGGAGAAATGAGAAGGGATTTGTGTGTATTCCGTTAAGACAGAGTGGGGCTAAGATTGGCTCTCTACTTCGTGCCCCTGGTCAGTTCAAGATTCCAGCAAATGTAGGAGATTGTATTTTCCCAGATCTGCCAGAATGAACCAGGCACAAGTCAGATGCCTGCAAGGGTATCAAGAAAATCCTTCAACTCAAGCAAGACAGAAGGTTGAGAGCCTATTTGTCTTCTACAGCAGAGGTCCCCAACCTTCTGGGCACCAGGGACCGGTTTCCTGGAGAGAAGTTTTTCCGCGGACCGGAGGGGATGGGTTTTTGCATGCTGCCTGCCTCATGCAGATGGGGCTTTGCTTGTTTGTGCAGACCGGTTGCTGGCATGCTGCGGACTGGGACCGGTCCACGGACCGGGAGTTGGGGACCCCTGTTCTACAGAACAGGAAGCCTGAATGAGATGAGTGACGTGATCCACCATCAGCAGGAAGGTCAGGAAACACTCTCGTCCAGTCAGCCAGCAAGACATCCATTGGCAACAGGATGCTTGGTGGTGGGTGGCTGGACTACCTTGATGGGCAAGACATTTGGAGTCCCATTAATGGACCTTTGTAGAGCAATTGCCTGGACAGAACTATTCATGTTCACGGACACATTTGCCTCCACAAACGCAACCTTTGAACACATGGTGCCATTTACTGAGCCTTCCTGGGAAATCTAACATAGTATATACACCCTTCGTGTCACCTATCTTTTCAGTAACCCAAGAATGGTGGTAGAACCTTTCAAGTGTACAATTGCGATACTGGATTGAACGCACAGAAAATTGGGCAAACCCGAGAAGGAAAGAAATACAGATTTAACGTTACAATCTTTGAAGGAAGGAATTCAAAGCTTCCTTGTTTAACATTCACAACAAGATAATGTGGAGTGGAAAGGGACTGATGCAAAGTTATCCAGAGAGAGCTTTGTTGCAGAATGGAGGATATGAATTTGGGTCTGCCTAATCATTACCTACAGAGGTAACTGGATTCACATTAGCCTAGGGCAGAATGTGGGGATATTTGGTTCTGATTTAACAGTTGTTTGAGTCCAACCTTTTTTAATTTATAGTTTAGCCTGCTGAAGATTCGGCCATTTGTGGCTTATTTCATAGACCGTGAATAAAATTATGGCTCACTATGATGTATGAATCCAGTTACAGTTGGGTTCAACATTCCAAGGTATAATGTGCTGAGCATGTTGTGGCCATTCTGGCTTGTTAAACCATGGTTTAGCAAAACTTTAAACAATACAGGCTATGTTAATATCACACTGAACATCAAGCCAGTCAACTATATTTTGCCTAATGTGTGTGAATTATGCTGGGTGGTTAATTGAAAGTGTTCTATGCACCCATGCGGAACGTCATATACAACAGCCAACACCTTAGTCACAATATTCTTTAACTTACTCTAGAAGGATCATGTCAAACTAGGAATCTTATTAAACATTGTGCTCTGCAAATCAGGTTCAGTTGATCAGTATGTGAACCCAACATTAGATACAGAATCCTGTCATGGATGAGTTACAGGTAGCAAGAATTTCTGTGGTTAAACAAGGCAGTTGTTAAGTGCATCATTCCCAATTTTATGACCATTTTTGTCATAAAATTGCAGTTGGTGGTTGAATGAATCGTATGGTCTTTAAGCAAATAATGGCTTTTCCCATTGACTGCTTGCTGAAAGCCAGCTGAGGTTGTCAAATAGCGATCATATGACTCCAGGACACCACAACCATTATAAATACAGGCCTGATGCCAACCAACGAAATTGTGATCTTGTGACTGTAGAGATGCTATGTCGGTTGTGACAGCTGGTTGTAAATCACATGGTAACTTTGAACACGCCCTAAAAGAATGGTTGTAAGTTGAAGACTAACATATTATGCTCTTGTGGGAACTGTTCTTCACAACAATGCATTTTTGGTGAATTATCTTTATGCTAGTCTTTAAAATGTAGCATTAATCAGGTAATGAGCATCAGCTGGTGGATTTGGGTAACATGTTAAACCGTGAATGCAATTGATAAGCTGGAATGGCTGGGTTCATTCAGCATAGTTAGCCAGGGTTTGTATAGCCAGCTTGTTAAACAAGCCACGGTTGATGTCTATACATAATCTAAATCAGTGGTTCTTAACCTGGGCGATATTGCCCCCCAGGGGGCGATTTCGTTTTTCAGGGGGGCGAAGGAACAAAATGGGGGCGATGGAGCGAGAAGTTTTGGGGACACTTTTGAGACTTTTTCATACAGTGAATCGCTGTATATCTGTCGTACAAAAACATCAGATTGCTCGCTATTAGTGGATTGAATTGTGTTTTCAAATGTTCCTCCAGCTAGCTTCAGTACAGAATGCCAGACATATGTGAATACGCATCGCTTATCTTCATGCACGTTGCGCAGCAGCCTCTACCCTTTTTATATTTATTTTTGCATCTTAAATTTCACTTGTAATTCAATCATTAAATGTTACTGTTTTTCTTTTCGGGCATTTCATTTTCTTGCAATTGAATTTTGTTTTCAGTGGTCATTACATTTAAGTATCTTGAATAAATAAGATAATAATGAAATACACGTATCACAAAGTTTGGGAATAAAGTGACGGGTGGCATCAAAATTTTTCACACAATTGAGATATGGGAAAAAGACTGGAAATAAATTATTTGCATCGATATGTCCTGATGATAATTTTAAAGAAAACAAAACAAGTGTTTGCATAAATTGAAGAATTATTTCCTATGTTGTGATTGAGAGGTTATGTGAGGGGAGGGGGGCGATGACATCTTCCTCATTGGCTCAAGGGGGCCATTCGTTCAAAAAGGTTAAGAACCACTGATCTAAATCACAAGCCATAGTTTTATTGCCATAGTGGCTGGGCCAGAACCGCACACTAAGCCCAAAGGAATCCGGCTTGGATTATAGTCATACGGCAAACCATCTTTGGGATTGAGTCGTCTCTGATCGGTGCCCGCAGGACGAAAAATAGCTGTGATTTGCTGCTTGCATTTTAATTCTTTCTGATGATCTTTCTTCCTCTCTTGGGTCTTTGCTCCCTTCCAGATCCATCACGAGAGCCTACTATAGGAATTCCGTCGGTGGCTTGCTCCTCTTTGACATTACCAACCGCAGGTCCTTCCAGAATGTCCACGAGTGGCTGGAGGAGACCAAGGCCCACGTCCAGCCTTATCAGATTGTCTTCGTTTTAGTGGGCCACAAATGTGATCTGGACACGCAGCGGCAAGTCACCCGACATGAGGCCGAGAAGCTGGCCCTCGCCTACGACATGAAGTACATTGAGACCTCGGCCCGGGATGCCATCAATGTGGAGAAGGCCTTCACTGACCTGACTCGAGACATCTATGAACTTGTGAAAAGGGGGGAGATAAGCATCCAGGAGGGCTGGGAAGGGGTCAAGAGTGGCTTTGTCCCCAACGTAGTGCATTCTTCGGAAGAAGTGGTGAAGTCAGATAGGAGGTGCCTGTGCTAACTGGGGAGTCCCCGTGAGAAGGAAGGAGGCTGACTCTTTGAGTAGCCCCAACGGGTTCCATTCTACTCCACAAACTTGGTGGGAAGGCGGAGAAGGTGCGGTTCGGGAGGCAAAGCACCAGCGCTTGGACTGCTGGAGGACAAAAGCCCCAAAGGAGGCCACAACCCCATTATGTACGAATCAATCCGGATGCATGTTAATGTGGTAGCGATAAGGCCATGGGAGTCTGGAAAACTGGGTAGGGTTAGTTGACCTCAGTGGGTTTTATGTACCCTGGTTTAAATAGATTCATATATCACCGCTTTTCTTTCTTTTTCTTTTTAAGCCACAGTCCAAGTCGCCTGCAATTAGGAAGCGTATTTAGAAAAAGAACAAGGAAAGAGACCGAAATCATAGCTTTTCCAGGAACCGTATGCTTGCTACCTTTTAAGAATCACCAGGGCTGAAATAATAATAATTATAAAGGGCTTGCTGCAATAGAAATTAAACAAGTGAAGACACTGCAGAGCCACTAAAACTGAAGCCAGAGAGACCGTTACTTTATTAGGAGTTGGATGTCGCAGAAGTTTCCCGGAATTTGATAGTTCAGGTTCCACTATTAATCTGGGAAGATCTCACCAGCTGATTTGGCAGGGTCAACATTTATTGGTTCTTTCTGAGGTGCACAGCCACGTTCCTTCAAAAGCCCTCGTGCTCCCCCCCCCTTATTTTTCTCCAGAAAAGCAGCCCCATGAAGAAAGTTGGGAGTGATTGGCCCAGAGCCAAAGTCATCCATGGTTGAGGGGCACTAGAAAGACTCTGGGTGTCCCTGGCCCTAGCCCAACGCTTCAACCATTAAGAATAGCCATACTGATTCGCAATCCTGAAAGGATTCCCAGGAAAATATTTGCTAACGGCTCTACGAGTTGGCTGTGCAACCCTTTCCATTTTAATTAATTTGCTTTAATTAAAGTAGAATTACACACAGTGGTGAGTCTTCCCTGTGTATTTCATGGTTTCCTCCCCTTATCACTTAAACTACGTCCAGTTTGAAGAAATCTTTCAGTTCTTGCTGGATCTTTCATCCAAGATCTGAAGGAATGGAATCTCAGTTGTTAGATTTCTGCCATGGTGCAAGAAGAGGTAACCCTATTGACTTATTACTAATAGCGGTTATTAAAATACACAATTGCATTTATATTCTACCTTTTTTCAGGGAGTTCCTGCAGGTTTGTGTGGGCTCTCTTTCCCAATATCACAAACCTTCAAAGCAGGTTGGATGAGGAGGTTAACTGGCCCAAAGTCTCGCAGCGAGACCTCGATCACCCCATGATCACCTCATTAGATCACCCTGATCTAACTCCAGTACATCTATCCACTACATCCCTTAATGAAATATTGAAGGTTGCTTGGGCCACCTGGAAAGTTACATTCCTACAAGTCATAGGAAGAGGAGGGCTGATGTGTATGTGTGTCTGTGTGTGTGAGAGAGGGGTATATTTTGATCAAGGGTGCTCTAATTTTCTTCTGGAAAAAGCCAAGATTGATTAAAGCTGAAGTAGCATTGAATCCGTGCTTCCTGCTCTTGGGACGTTGCATTTCCTGCAGGTCCCAGCTGAGAAGAAAGAGGATGCATAGTAAGATAGGCAAGCGAGAAGGGATGCAAAGCAATCGTTTTGCAACTCAGTGAACTTGCAAGAATTGTAATTTTAATGGCCTTTCTTTCCCTTCTGAACATATTATCAATCGTTTTAAGCATTGCTTAAAGAAAGCAAGCTAGATCAGTTAAGTGAGGGAGCTCATGACACAACCTGGAATTCTTAAGAGGAAAATCAGTGTTTACTAAATAAATAAATAAATAAATAAGATTGGTTTGGTTGTCAAGAGATAGGTAAGACGTGAGCAGAAGGAAGAAATCTGGGAGATGCTGAGTGATGAGAAACTGCTTTTAAAGGCAAGATGAATCTGCATTTTTAGCAGCAGTTCCACTTTTTTTTTTTTCTTGATCATTTTGCATCTGGAGCTGGGTTGTTTTTTTTTTTTATGGCCATCTGAGAATCTGAATGCAGAATGGAAGGAAAGGAGGGTTGGATTCCTCCAGAGCAGTGGTTCTCAACCTTTTTCATGCCGCGACCCCCAACCGGTCGTAAGTCGAGGACTACTCAACCGGTCGTAAGTCGAGGACTACTCAACTGGTGCAGCACCATTTGCAGAATGGGACTTTTGGCGGGCTCAGCAGGGCAGAGACAGCCTGGACAATTCCTATTGGCTTTTGAAAGCCAATAGAATTAGACTCTATTCAAGAGAGTCTATTCTATTGGCTTTCAAAAGCCAATAGAATAAAAGGGAGTAGAACAGCTAAGAAAAAGGGGGGAAAAAATGGCGGACTGCGTTGTTTGGCGACCCCCGTGAAATGGTCGTTCGACCCCAAATGGGGTCCCGACCCACAGGTTGAGAACCACTGCTCCAGAGCATTCATTCTTTAACATTTCTGAAGAATGTTTAGGAAGCAGCCAATGTTAAAGGAAACAATGTTAATTGGAGTGTTGGTTTCTTTTCACGAAAGTTTGCTCTGAGGCAGAAAAGGGCTACACTGTTTTTTAATGACCTACATACATGCAGAGTGTTTACTTTTCTTTCTGGAGGTGACAGTAATGATTTTGTGATCTCTTCCCCACCCCACCAGGCTCAGATACAAATAGATTGCGCCTGGCTCAGACTGCAAGCTGCAGAAGTCACAAGTAAACCTACATCCCATTTGCTAAGGACACTGGGAAACATTTTTATAGGGATGCAATAGAATAAGGGATGAAGCCCACATATACTCAAGACAATATTTTTAAATCAATAAGTCAGATCTAGACTAATTTCAAGAATGTTGCTAGCGTTGAACCCAGGAGTAAAATAGATTGTAGGATTGGTTATATTTTGCATGCTCTGGCTCAAATTGTAGCTTTATATACGGAGTAAAGCTAGAAAGGCAAACTCTTCTGCCTGTTAACTAATTAAAGACGTTTTAGTCAATCATCTGAATTTCTGCTGAATAATTGGGGGGGGGGACATTTCTATGAAACAAAGAACTTGGGTTCTTTTTAGATAGTATCTGCGTGGGTGTGACAAACAGACATTACTATTGTAGAAAAATTCCAGCTTCTTGCATAAAGGATTGCTGCTTATGATCTGGTATGTGCTTGCATTGAATATGCTTTTTTTTAAAAAATAGGCCTATTTCCCCAGGAAGGGAGGGGGTGTTAGCAGTTTAAGTCAATTAATCGAATGGATTTTTAGAATCACTCTATCCAGTTGACAAAATGTTGGAACTCCTTTAAAAACTAGTGTTTTTTTTTTTTTTCCAGATAGCAGAATAAAGGGTGGGAGGAAGTGATGATAAATCCACGTAATACTTTAAAAGAGTGTCAGTACGTTTGTTGGAACCTTTTGTATCATTCTGAGTTTTTGCTATAGTTTTCTGTTTCTGCATGATTCACAAGTGACTTCAAATTATTTCTGTGATCAAATTAAGGCAATATTTAAACTACTTTTTAAAATGCCTGTTTATCAAGTGTTGAAAGATATGCTTAAGTGTCTTAGGTTACAGTTGCTTGTAGATTTCACCTGGACTTGGAATAATTGGTCCGTTAAAGCAAAATAATTCAGAACTGATTTTATACATATGAACCTTATGCAGTATACTATTCCATGTGCTGTTCAAATTCTCTGTAGTATATTTCATATACATGTACATTGTGCAAATGTGCACACAGAGATTAAAAATTAGGCTGTTACAGACCATGTACATTAATGGGAGATAAACAGAGGAGAGCAACAAAGATGATTAGGGCACTGGAGGCTAAAACATATAAAGAACGGTTGCAAGAATTGGGTGTATCTAGTTTAATGAAAAGGACTAGGGTGACATAGCGTTATTCCAATATATCAGGGGCTGCCACAAAGAAGAGGGAGTCAAGCTATTCTCCAAAGCACCTGAAAGCAAGACAAGAAGCAACGGGTGGAAACTAATCAAAGAGAGAAGCAACCTAGAACTAAGGAGAAATTTCCTGACAATGAGAACAACTAATCAGTGGAACGGCTTGCCTCCAGAAATTGTGCGTGCTCCAACAGTATAAGTTTTTAAGAAGAGATTGGACAACCATTTGTCTGAAATTGTATAGTGTTTTCTGCTTAAGCAGGAGGTTGGACTAGAAGACCTCCAAGGTCCCTTTCAACTCTGTTATTCTGTTATATTCATTTAAGTGACACAACTCACTTCCTCTGGATTTGAGGATGCATTCATGCCCAGTTCGGTGGTGCTCTTACAGCAGTGGTTCTCAACCTTTTTAATGCCGCAACCCCCAACCGGTCGTAAGTCGAGGAATACTCAACTGGTGCAGCACCGTTTGCAGAATGGGACTTTTGGCGGGCTCAGCAGGGCAGAGACAGCCTGGACAATTCTTATTGGCTTTTGAAAGCCAATAGAATTAGACTCTATTCAAGAGAGTCTATTCTATTGGCTTTCAAAAGCCAATAGAATAAAAGGGAGTAGCACAGCTAAGGAAAAGGGGGAAAAAATGGCGGACTGCGTTGTTTGGCAACCCCCGTGAAATGGTCGTTCGACCCCAAATGGGGTCCTGACCCACAGGTTGAGAACCACTGTCTTACAGCATCCTAATCTTTGGTAGTTTTAAACTTGTTTAGTACAGCCAATGGCACTAACTGATGTTAAGACAAAATTTAACATGTGCAAATTCAACTAAATCTAATCTGAAGTCTAAAATCAAGAACATCTCCTAAATCAGCCTTTATGGAGCCATGTGCTAAGATTATTTTATGTGATAAGAAATTACACTTTTCTTACTCTCATTTAAAAAAGAGCCTGGATCCAGCACCAATCTAAATCAAGATCTATGAACTAGCATAGCAGAAAATGCCTTTTGAGTGGGGTTCTTTTCTATATCTCTGGGTTAATACTGACTTAAATTAAGAATAAACATCTTTGATTTGTACTACCATGTATTAGGATGACAAAAAGACACACATAAAATATATTTAAATGAAAAGGGAAGTCTTAATAATCCTGATAAAAAGCCGTGACCTAAGTCTTTTTCTAATGATTTACATTTTTAACCCCTGTATACATTTAGCAGTGTACCAAGGGTGGGGCAGAAAAAAAAGGATTCCTTTTTAAAAAAAAAATAAATGGAAGGGGCTTGATTTTGTAAACCTGATAGAAACGAGCCCAGTTTATTGGTTTCAAGTTCACAATCTTAGTCTGCATGCTGGACCTCAAGAAAAATCCAGACCCTCCAGATATATAAATATACTGTACATTTTTGCTAGCTTTCTGTTATATGCACTGTAATGAAATGTGATGCAATGTTGTATTTAGCTGTGTGTGAATGAAAATTATGCTCGTTTAGCAAAGCAGTTAGCGTGAATATGTGACATGCAATATGTGTAAAAATTACTTTTTATTTTCTGCCATTTTTCATGAACCCTCAAGTAACTCTGTATACATGAACTGTGGTGGGAGCTTCCCTCCCCCTTCCCCCAGATTAGGTTAAAAATAAACAGACCCACTGTTTACCATGGAATCAGTATTTTTTTGTTGGGTTTTACTTGTAGGCACGTGCCTTCATTTGAAACATTTTAAAGTGTCTCTTGTTAAGCACAACCGGGATGAAAAGATTCTAAGTGACATAAATAGGATAACAGTCCAATCGGACAACAGCCAAGGTAACCCTTTGCAATATTGGCTGATTGGTATCATGTGTAGTTACAACTTCACTGGAATGCATACGTTCAGTGGGTTTACTTTGCAGATAAGCAGCCCCTTTCTGACATTCTACAATTCCAGTGTCAAGTGAAGATATTTTCTATTCCAAAGATAGTAGCCTTTGCTGAACTCTGCCCCTGAACATTTCATGGACATTTTGGCAGTCCACGGAAGAGGATATGCTTTTGGTTGGCTTGGCGTAACTCTCTACTGG